ACACACACAAACACACACACAAACAAAGCTGAGGCTGCAGAGTGTGAGGGATGCGTGGGCCGGGTGTGGGGGGGTCGGGGTGGGGGGGTTGCGGGGGATGAGTCAGGGACGTGTCACTTCCTCCCTCACTTCCTGTGGGTTTCCTGGTTGTCAGACTCCCACGCAGACAAACTGACGGCTCATATCTGAGTTTATGTTAGTTTAGCTTTCTGACACACACACGCACACACACACGCACACACAAACGAGAAGACACCCACGCTGACTGACAGCACTGTCACACATTATCAGCTTGTTGACTTTTTAATAAATGTTTTTTTCTTCACTGTCACCAAACTCACAAATCAGGAACTAAATAATTGAATGAGTCACTTTAACTTCCCGGTTTCTTCTCCCTCTTTAAATATGTTATTAGGGTCGTCTCCATACTAGAATTATTTGTACTTATAAATGATACTACAAATAAACAAACAATATTGATACCTGTTTTGATACCAGGGCAACCAAAATAGAAGTCCTATAGACACCCAATATTGGGAAATGTCTTGTTTTGGATCACTCAAAGCTGCAGGTGAACTCCTGCATAACTTATAAATATGTTGGCAGTCTTTCTCTTTGGGTAAAAATGTGACCTAAGATCTGTCGTTTTTTTAAAGCTTTGGCGCTTTTCGATATTTTCTATCATTAATAAAACGGTTTCTGATTGTTGGGCCTAGTGATTTTGCTGCACACACCGTGTACAGAGGCTGTAGTCCTCGTGGCAGCGGCCGTGGGTTTGAATCTGACCTCGGCCCTTTACTGCATGTTGTCCCCAACACTCTCTCCTCCTAACATTTCCTCTCTCTTTTTGGCTGTCCTATCTAGTAAAGGAAAAAATTACACCCCAAAAAACATCTGAAAATTGACAAAACTTACCATTTTAAAAATCGTCTTTGTGAAAATGATTGAACCTAATTTGGGATAAAACATTTTTATGATTCAGTGCATGCAACATGATGTTCAGTTGCACAACTTTCTGCTCAATTGTAACAACTCTGTTTTTACTTTTTCTATCCCATCTCACTGCTTCAGCACTCACTGCCTCACTTTCTCATGCTCCGGGGTACCACAAGGATCCATGCTGGGTCCCCTTAACTTCTCCATTTCTAACATCTCCCTAATCCAATTATCCTGGTTTTTAAAATCTGGTTCAGATTTGTAAATCTAATGTATGCTCTCATCTCTTCCTGGCTTTATTATTTAACTCTATGTATGCCAAGATCTGCTGTCCCACCTGCAGCTGGTCGAAAATGCTGCAGCCAGACATGTGACTGGTTTGAGGAAGAGGGAGGAGCTTATCTGCCTCTCTTTAACGTCTCTGTCTTTGCTTCAGGGTTGATTTAAAAGTCAATTTGCAAATCTGTTGTTAAAACAACTTTTCAGACTTTAAGGGTTTCAAAGCCTTGGTATAAAAAAAAGTTGGACCCTGACCCTGATGTAGTTGGCATTGATGTAGCGATCTGGCCCCGCCTCCTCCTCTGTGCTCTTCAGGACCACCCGGCTCTCAGGGTCTAGACAGCAAAACAACATTGATGAACAAGTTTGAAAACTGTGTGATATGTTTTTAAAGAAGAACAGACGGACAGCGGAGGCACTCACTGGGCAGGATGGTTTTATATCTGTCTTTGATCGTGTGGCCTGGAACATCGAGCTCCGCAGCGCTCACAAAGTTTGGCGGGATCTTCTGCAGAGAAGACAGGGACGGGCTGGATGTTAAAACAAACACACCTCAACCTCAAACAGATAAAAAAGTTACTGACGAGAAAGAAAGTCAAATTTTTATTAAGGATCAGAAAATGTTACCTGGTATTCTGCGTTCTGTGTGTGCGTGTCCAAAGCGGCCTGCTGCAGCGTGGTGTGTGTGAGCGGGCGGGAGGAGGTGTGGAGCAGCTGAAGCCACACCTCTTTTGGGGTGGACACAGAACACACAGTCTCCAACCCAAGAGTACTCACGTCCAATAACAGAGACAGGTTGGAGCCCCGCCTAAAAAATCAAACAGACCTGTTAGCTAGGATCAGTACCAGGTCCCAGTCTGACGACCTGTTAGCTAGGACCAGTACCAGGTCCCAGTCTGACGACCTGTTAGCTAGGACCAGTACCAGGTCCCATTTGTTTAGAATTGGTATGTATGTGACTTCCTGTGCTTCTGCAGCCTCTAGTGGACACTCGAGGAACTGCAGGATTTTGCACTTTAACATTGGCTTCATGTTTAAACACAGGAGGATGCCTTTTGGGTTCGAGACATATTTTTAAATGAGTCCTGATATAACAAAATATTTCCTTTATGTCCTCTTTGTTTGTCGTAAGAGATCTTTATGTGGAAGATACCGACCTCTCCTGCAGACGGACGGAGGCTTTGCGAGGAGGAGTGGTCATGGGTGGGGGCGAGACTGGGTCCTCAGCAGGATGGGAGGCTGACTGCACTGTGAACAGGCTCATGGTGTGTGTGGTCGTGTGTTTCAGTAGCAGGTGATCACAAAATGCTGTAGAAGAGAGAGAGAGACAAACATTTAACAGCAGAAAAAACTGTATAAGCTGATATCTGAATTCAGACTCTGAAGGTGATTAACACGATCTCATGTCCGCCCACATGTTTGCGTTCACACATGCAGCTCTCCAACACAATTTCAGGAGTTTTGTTGATTTTTTTCAAAACAACAACACGCAATCAATCAATCAAATCAAAACTTTATTTAGAAACACCTTTACTTTTTCCATCCCATCTCACTGCCTCACTTTCTCATGCTCCGGGGTACCACAAAGATCCGTGCTGGGTCCCCTTAACTTCTCCATTTCTAACATCTCCCTAATCCGATTATCCAGGTTTTTAAAATCGGTTCAGATTTGTAAATCGTCTCGTGTAAAATAAATTGAAGTTCAAAGTGCTTTACAAAAGTAAAGAAAAGTTAAAGATGTTTCAACAAACAGCTTTTATAAAAACATGATCAAATTACATTTTAAAATCCAATTTTTTCCTAATAAGAGAATATTCTTACAGACTGGTGTTTCCTCATTAAAGGATCTAAATCCCTCTGACCTGTGAGTGACTCAGTCTCTGCAGCAGTTTGTGCTTTGATAACAGAATCAGAGATCGTACTCACCTTTCTGTCCTTCATGCGGCTTTAAAGACTCAAACTTCTGACTGTTCTGCAGCAGCTCAACGGTTTTGTGTTTAATGAGCTTCCTTACATAATGAGCCCGCTAAAGTCAGACTCCACGTGTCACTCCCGACGCCTCCTCAAGCCCATTCCGTTTGTTTTGCCGCCTAAATTGAGGAAGTTTGACATGACGAGTAAATTAGTGATTCGATGACGAGGCGAGGCGAGCTGTCAGACAAACAGGATGAATGTAATCCTAAAAACTCAACCTGCCTGAACCCAAGAGATAAAACACAAATAAACTGTGTGTGTGCGTGTGTGTGTGTGTGTGTGTGTGTGTGTGCGTGTGCGTGTGCGTGTGCATGTGTGTGAGAGTGTTTCCACATCACATCGGATCTGAAACGTTTCAGTGTGTCCCCATCGGAAGAGAGTTTCCTCACAGCAGGAAGTCAACACGCCCACACCGACTTCACACACACAACACACACTTATGCATATACGCACACACACTACACACACACACAAACAGTCGAGTCAATAATCTTTAATCTGAAGAAGTGTTGTGAGCAAAAGAAGCTCTTGGAGGGCCAACATGTGCAAAAGCCTAAAACCATTTTTTGAAGAGCTGTAACCCCGAGACGAGGAAACATGTTCAGGAAAGAGATAAAAATTCCCAAACATATAGAATAATAAGATCTGCTGCAGAAAGACACAAATGTGCAACAAACACGTTGAAGATACGCAGAAGAAGAAACAACTGCAACAGAACAACACTGCATAACCAGCCAACACAACAAAAGACCTCCAGGCCTGAAGGGGGCGCTAAGTGACACTGCTTTATGTTTGTTTGTAGAGAAAGACAGGAAGCACATTTATTGTTTTCAGGCCGCAGAATTGTAGACACAGTTGTAACAGTTGTAATTGTTGGATGCTCCTTTGGGCCACGTTGTGTTGCCAGGCGACGCGACGTCACTGGACGACGCCTTGTTTTAAGCCTTGAGTACGTCAAGACTTAAAACAAGGCGCCGTTTGAGCGGCGCTAAAACTCCTGATTTATTTTTCATCGCAGAACCAGGCTGTAAACATGTTCATCTCTGCTGTAAAAACAGGCTTTTTAGAATGGGTGTGTATGTGACTTCCTGTGCTTCTGCAGCCAGCCTCTAGTGGACACTCCAGGAACTGCAGGATTTTGCACTTCAGCATCGACTTCATTTTTCATCACCGGGGGTTTCTGATTGGTTCCGACAAAATGACATGGAAGAGCGAGCACGGTTTATGATCTATACTGCAGCCGTCTGTGGCTGCAATGCACACTGCAGCCTCTAGGGAGCACTGTAGAGTTTTTACCCAATTTAGAAACTGTTTTTTTTAACAGATATTCAAAAAGAAAAGCACGACATGCACACTGAATTAAACCTTTGACAGATCACACGATACACAAACAGACTTTAACAGTCATGTTAACAGGAAACATATTGATCAGGCTTACCCGTCATTTCACAGCCATGATGTTCTGTTTCTGAGTGATTCAGCGTCTGTCGACTCTCTGCCTATAAAAACAACACAAGTGACTTTTCTGACTAACTAACCAACCAACCGAGCAGGGGGAGAGATCTCCGCCTCTTCGCTCGCCCTCTGCCTCTCTCTGGCCCTATTCGCATGAAATCGATGACTTTCTGACAAAACCAGGGGCAAGAAGGAACACGTGAGCGGGGAGAACGAGGGAGTGAGAGAGAGAGAAAGTGATAGTGAAGGAGAGAAAGTGAGAATGTGAGGTTAGAGGCAGCAGGAACAGACATGTCCTGTTTCTCTGAACGTTATTACTCTGGTTGAAGGAGTTCAGGTAGAGAGAGAGAGGGGGGGAGAGAAAGAGAGGAGAGAGGGGGAGAGGGGGGGAGAGAGGGGGAGGGAAAGAGAGAGAGAGACAGAGACAGAGAGAGACAGAGACAGAGAGAGGGAGAGAGAGAAAGGGAGAGCAAAGAGACAGAAAGAGAGAGAGACAGAGAGAGGGAGAGAGAGAGAGAGAGAGAGAAATGGAGAGCAAAGAGACAGAGAGAGAGAGACAGAGAGAGAGAGAGAGAGAGAGAGAGAAACGGAGAGCAAAGAGAGAGAGAGAGGGAGAGAGAGGGGGAGAGAGGGGGAGAGAAAGAGAGAGGGGGAGAAGGGGAGAGAGAGAGGGAGAGAGAGGGGGAGAGAGAGAGAGAGGGGGAGAAGGGGAGAGAGAGAGGGAGAGAGAGGGAGAGAGAGGGGAGAGAAAGAGAGAGGGGGAGAAGGGGAGAGAGAGAGGGAGAGAGAGGGAGAGAGAGGGGGAGAGAAGAGAGAGGGGGAGAAGGGGAGAGAGAGAGAGAGAGAGAAATGGAGAGCAGAGAGAGACAGAGCGAGGGAGAGAGAGGGAGAGAGAGGGGGAGAGAAAGAGAGAGGGGGAGAAGGGGAGAGAGGGAGATAGAGAGGGAGAGAGAGGGAGAGGGAGAGAGAGAGAGGGGAGAGAGAGAGGGAGAGAGACAGAGAGCGAGAGAGCGAGAGAGACAGAGTGAGAGAGAGACAGAGAGAGAGAAACGGAGAGCAAAGAGAGACAGAGCGAGGGAGAGAGAGGGAGAGAGGGGGAGAGAGGGAGATAGAGAGGGAGAGAGAGGGAGAGGGAGAGAGAGAGAGGGGGAGAAAGACAGAGAGAGAGAGAGAGAGAGACAGAGAGCGAGAGAGCGAGAGAGAGAGACAGAGTGAGAGAGAGACAGAGAGAGAGACAGAGAGAGACAGAGAGAGAGAGAGAGAGAGAGACAGAGAGAGAGAGAGAGACAGAGAGACAGAGAGAGAGAGAGACAGAGAGAGAGAGAGAGAGAGAGAGAGAGAGAGAGAGAGAGAGAGAGAGAGAGAGAGAGACAGAGAGAGAGAGAGAGAGAGACAGAGAGAGAGAGAGAGACAGAGAGAGAGAGAGAGAGAGAGAGAGAGAGACAGAGAGAGAGAGAGAGAGAGAGACAGAGAGAGAGAGACAGAGAGAGAGAGAGAGAGAGAGAGAGGAAAATGAGTCAGAGATCGAATGAAAAGATAAAGAGAGATAAATGAAAGAGAGGAGGAGAGATGCTCCAGGCGTTGATTATTAACACACCAACAACAGCTGCTCATGAATCATTTATGTCATATCACACCACACACACCAGTAAGACCAGCAGCACAACTGAACACACACACACACAAGTTACACACACTCATATAACATACGAGTGATAAAGTGACTCTCCAGAAACACAGGAAATACACACAACCTTCGTCTGAGCAAACAGTGACTCAGCCTCACACCTCCACCGTGTTTCTCTCTCAACCGGCCACGACGGGAAACTTACTCATCTCACCATCTTTGAACCCTGAAATAATCACTTTGATTAACAGAGTCGAGGACCGACCAGCAAAGAGACCATTTTAGTCTTTGTGCAGAGGTGGCTTTAGAGGACCCTCTTTAAAACCAAAATAAAGTAAAACCCCGCTGCTCGCAGAGTTAGTGGAGTCAAAGTACTGTTAGAGAGTGAGATGATAAAGGTATCTTACTATCTGATCATTAAAGGACCAATCAGTGAGCTGTGTAGAGAGTGAGATGATAAAGGTATCTTACTCTCTGATCATTAAAGGTCCAATCAGTGAGCTGTGTAGAGAGTGAGATGATAAAGGTATCTTACTCTCTGATCATTAAAGGACCAATCAGTGAGCTGTGTAGAGAGTGAGATGATAAAGGTATCTTACTCTCTGATCATTAAAGGTCCAATCAGTGAGCTGTGTAGAGAGTGAGATGATAAAGGTATCTTACTCTCTGATCATTAAGGAAACATGCTATGTTGAAGTGCTGGCTTCTCTGACAACAATGCAGCAGCCAGTATGTCCTCCTTCTAACTTTAGATTCTGCTCCTGAATGCTCTGGATTTGTTTGGACCAGAGAAGGTAGGCGCTTTTAAGACACGCCCCCACACGGCCGTTTTGGACGCCCCTCGGTTTGTCAGATATGAGAGCAGTTATCAGGTCAACAGGTGTTGCAGTGATGGAAGCGGTCAAGAGAAGTGGTTCAGATAGAAGTGATTGTACCCGATCTAAAAAGCCTCTGCATGTTTCTAATAAGCTCCACGAGCAGAAACGTGCTCAAACTAGGATCAATATTGGAGATGCTTTTGAAAAATGGAGAGAGGTTAGAACACAGAAAGGTTTACAGACCCATGCAGAGCTGGATAAACACTGAAGCTTCAGAGTCCACCACATGGTGACCTGAGTGAGCATCCACTCTAGAGAGGAGGGGAGACAGCTCAAGAACTACTACTTATTGTTGCAGACGTGTTGGATTTGAGTTCAGGCTGCTGAAGTTTCTCAGAGTTTGTAAATTCTGACAAAATTGCAAGATGGCAGCGCAGTGCAGGAACGAAGAGTGCAAGAAGATGTGTTCGCTACGTCCATTTTTATTTACAGTCTATGTTCCCAACACAACCTGTGAACTCTTGTTAAGATTATTTACTAATTTAATTTTTGTATTCCTCAAAATCTGACGATCTGTGTTTCATCTTTAACCAATAAACTCAACCATTTCTTTCACCGACTCTTCAGTGTTGAGACATGCAACTGAAAAATGTATTTCTAAAGTTTAAAACCTTTTACGCCTTATTTCAATCTCAGCTTTCATTTTCTGATTTAACAATATACTTGACTTACACATTTAAAGATAACTCTGTTTTAAAGTATTTCAGGTTTTCTCTGTTCAAAGTTTAAATCCCAGACTTTACAATGAGCAGTGAACGCACCGCAAATCTACTCTCTGTTTGTCTACGTCTGCTTCAGTTACCTCCCAGGTGAACACCAGGTGGACGTCTTCCTCCTCGTCCTTCTTCTTCTTCTTCTTCTTCTTCGTCGTCTCTCCGCTTCACTCGCTCTTCTCTCTCTTTACTTTTTCGCTCATCTGTTGCTTTCTGTCGTTTTCGTCTTCACTTCTACCTTCTTCTCCGCCACTTCCTTTTCTGCACCCACCCACTCTCTCATTGCCACACACACTTTTTAAGCGCCTGCACACACACACACACACACACACTTTCTATTCCCCTCTCATTCAAGGTTATGGGTCCCCTTTAGACTGCACGCCACGGGCTCCAGCGTCGTGTATCTGTGTATGTATGTTTTTCTGTGTGAATGTGTGTGTGTTCAAACATCAGCGGGGCCGTAACAACTGATTTGTTTTTCCTCTCCAGCTGTCAGACGAGCAGCAGCGGCAGGATACAGTCCTACTGGGACGCAGGGGGGGAAGGCTAACCTGCTAGCGTTATTAGCCGTCGCCATAGTAATAAAATTAATAGAATAAGCGGCGCTGATCACGACAGCAGTCTCTCGGTATCGGAGGGGAAGATAATGACACGGCTGGGGAACTTTTAGGGGTTTAATGGAAGCTGTCGAGCGCCTTCTGTGTATGAACGACGGATGAAAACATGGCTGCAGTTAGCATGATGTCCTCTTTACACACACGTTCCTCAGGATGTTATCAGGTAGCCCATTGGGCCATCACAAGTTGATAACGACCACTTCTAGCTCCGGGTCGTTTGGTCTTTGAGGGCTAAGAACCCCTCAGTTGGTGTTGGATGTAGATCATAACAGTTCTACTTCCTGTCTGTACCCACTGATTGTTTCCACCGTGGGCGGTTGAAGATGGACACAGTGTGTGTAAAACGCAGCTTATTCATTGGCTGGTACTTTTTCAGAGGAAGCTGAAACTCTCCTGACGCTGACTTCCTGTTCCTGTGTGACCGCTCGCTAACCTGTCACCTACCTGTCACTAGGCTAGCTAAAGAACCAGCACGACCCTGAGATTGATTGAAACATGAACAGACAAATCTGCACTACGCTCTGACACGTTGGAGCATTAGTAAGCTAGTCTAGCTTAGCATGCTAACAGGACGTGCTAACCGCAGGTAGGTGAGCGGTCAAACTGAACAGGAAGTCAGCGTTTTCCAAAGAGCTCCAGGAGAGTTTCAGCTTCCTCTGAAATGTACCAGCCAATGAATAAGCTGCGTTTTACACACACTGCAAGCGTCCATCTTCAGTCGCCCACGGTGGAAACAACCAGTGGGTACAGACAGGAAGTAGAACCGTTACGCGATCTACTTCAGTGAAGCCAACGTCGCTGAAGACCAACCTAAACGAGCTGCTCAGGTGAAAACCTTTACCTGCCAATCAGAGCAGGTCACCGATGTGTGAAGCGATACATATGGAGCGTAATATAAAATAATGTTCTGATGTGACGTCTGATCGTCCAATAAGATCACAGAGAGACAGATGAACAAATCTCCAAAAGGCTCCAACAGCTCAAACAATTAGCAGTTTACCTCGCCGCGTCTGATCAACCATATTTCCCTCATGAACATCACAGGCAGAACAAGTGAATTGATGTGATCGGGGAGTCTGAGCGGTTGCCTCCAGCGGCTCCCTGGGAACTCGTTTCATTAGTTGCGATGGCAATGGAGCTCAGAATCCACCGCAGACTCACAACTGAAAATCTTTTAACTCATCTCCTGATGACACAAGACGCGTTAAAACCGTCACATGTGAGATACAGGGACATTAGAGCGGGGAGGAGAGGAGGCGCTGAGAGGAGGGAGAGTGGTTGGCGGCGGTTTGGAGACGGGAAGTTTGAGAAAAAAGAGATAAAAGATGGAATGATACGAAGGGAAAATGAAGGAGACTGAAAAATGTACAATTTAGAGGAAATAGAAAAACATTCCATCTGAATCCAGCAGTCACGCAGGATATCTAAACTAAACGTGGTCATAGCTTCAGATCATGAGGTAAACGTATGTTGGAGTAATCCCAGGATAAACCTGCAGAGGGCGCTCAACTTGTTCTGCTAATCACGCCATAGTTCCCCGATATGAAACCAAGAATTTCAGCAGACGTCTTCCAGCCTCTACGTAATCATCTGACATACACTCTCTTCTCTCAGGCCTGGAGAGCAGCCCTCTCCTGGCAGCCCTGCAGTGTTCTGCCCCCCCCCCCCCAGGAAGGCTTCCAGAGAGCTGGCCAATCAGAAGAGAGCGGGCATGTGGGGGGGGGCTTGGGATTTAACTGACGAGGAGGTGGATCTAAATCAGAAGGTTTTTGAGCTACACATCGTACATCACTACTCACCAGGTGTTCCAGACTGACATCACTCACGGTGAAGGTGAGGATAACAGATCTCCTTTCAATCTGAGCGGAGATGATGCATTTAATGCCGTGGTGCCCAAGCTTCTTTGGCTACTTGTCCTGCTAATTGTCGCTGCATTACAAAGAAAAATTAAGAGGAATTATCCGTCTAAGGAGAGAAAAAGGAAACAGGTAAAAGAGGAGTTAGCATCGGCACGCTGGCAGACATGATGGTGACAAAACGCGGGTTGGAGGCCCCAACAGACTCTAGAGTCACCACTGGGCTCAGATGCACTTTGAGGGTGAAGTGTGCGTCTGCTGCAAGTTTGGAAAACAAGAAATACAAATAACTGGTGAAATGGTTCAGATGTAGCTGGATCATGACTTCAATCAAAAAGATGATAAACCTTTAATCTGTAAAGACAAACTGAATCCATCCACCTGAAACATAAAGAGAGAAACACTAAAGGACAGCTGCAGGTCAACGACTCCTTCTAGTGTCAATGATGCAGCAGCAGCCTCTAGTGGCCTGTCTGTGCATTACATGTCTGAAAGCTGCTCCTCACTGCACTGTTAATCAACACTGCTCATTAAACACTCTGAACCTTCAGTGTGAGGTTTGATGTCTGTAGAAATGTTCTTAAAGAAGTATGAGCTGTTGTCAGGGTTGGAAATGAACCTTTTCACCTTCCTGCAGCCGTGATTGGTGGATTCAAAAATCTAGCAGTCCCTTTTTTATTCACTAGACACTTTATTTGCTGCTGTTTTCACAAAGTTTTTACTGTTTCATAGTCCACATTCTACAGTTGAACATATTTTTAAATGAAGGAATATCAGCCATGTTTAAGGCTTGAGGTTTATTTGACAGAGGCTAAAGTTAGCTTTAAAGCTAATTTACATCTGTGCTGCAGAAAGAACAACGTTACAAACAGTATATCACGTTACAAAAACTTCCATGAGATTCTCTTCAAAGGTTTGAACCACAGATTGTAAATATGTCTGAGTGACGCCACCCGTCTGTTCCTGCAGGGGGCGCTGGAGTCCAATCTATGGCGGTCTCCATGCTGGAAACTGATTTGAAGAAAGTTGTCTTTATCGTAGCAGAGGAATGTCTTTCACACAGGCGGATGGATGCTCTAGTGATACAACCTAATAATCATTTAAATCAAATTACGAATTTAATAAAGTAATTTAACGACTTTAATATCTGAATTTTCCGATTCCTTTTTTTTTTTTACTTTTGTTTAAATTATAATAAAAATAATTCCATCAATTTAGCAAGAAAAGAGTCAATATATCTACACTTCCTGAATAAAGTAGTAAGTCATTTAGATTTCTGTGGGTGCATCTTAAGACTCTTAAACTTCATATCATCGCCAGACAAAGTTTTCAAAATGTCGAAGGGAAGCAAGAAGAGAAACAACGAGTGAATATTTATATTTGGTTTTTGAATGTTTTTTTTATTGCTTATGATTTGGTCGAAGAAGATTCAATTACATTCAAGTATTTAGCATCTTTAACATTTACTAAAACTACCCCAAACTAAACATGTGACGATAAAAACGAAGACAGACGAGGATGTGACTAAAAGAAGACAAAAAATAAATACACTCGTCAAAACAACAGGAAGTGTAACACAAACAGCAGCTGTAGGGGGCGCTGCAACACGAGAAAATCTAACATCAGAGGAAAAACTTCAAAGGCAGTTTGGTTTCCCTGGTTACTACGTCACTAAGTTTTTATTAAATGCAATATTCTAAAAATGATGAAACTTGATTATTTTCGATCTTTTGGCTCTGGAGAAGAAGCGCCGTCATCCTGTTTGGAACAGGAAGTCAACACTGGAGAGCGCTGCAGCATGCAAACAAGCTCTTTAAGGGTTCCTTCAAATACCGCGAGACTCTGACGTTCTATTTACTGACGTGGTTAAAATACAAGTTGGACGCGCTTTTGGCACGGTTGCTCAACACGTCTCATCTCGATATAAAAAACGATCCAGATTTTATTCACTTTCTGTCTAACTGAAGGATCGAATAATCCAGCTCACTTTATTAGTTTTGGAGAGAGCGGGGATGACATGCAGCAAAGGGCCGAGGTCGGATTCAAACTCGCTGTCGCTGCGACGAGGACTACAGCCTCTGTACACGGGCTGTGTGACATAACCGCTAGGCCATCCGAAACTTCGAACCCTATTTTCTAACCCTTAATCGGGTTTAAAAACCAGGACTAATGGGACGTTCTATTGACCTCTGAACTGGGAATGACTTCACACCCGAGTTGATCGTATTCCAGTTGGCAACAAGTCGAAAAGCAACATGGCTAATTCCACAAGATAATGACAGATAATGATCGTTTGAGTGCGAAATAACACAACAACACATCCGCAGAGAGAACTATGGAGCTCACCATAGATAACCTGATTTTATCCAATCACGTAATTCTTACTTTCCTCATTTAAAAACCTGATTCCAGATTTCAGTCTTTAACCCTGTTGGATTACTTTTCAACAGCCACACTCTGGTGTTTTATGTGAATCCCTAACAGGCCGAGGACAATTCCCTGAGGTACTGTTACCTGAGTCCCTGAGTACCTTGAGTTAAATACTTTACATTACACACAGAAGTCTAAAAAAACCACCGTTTAGCCCTTTAAATAATTCATAGTGAAGAAATTAACAAATTCAATCTAGCAACGTTTTCATAAATTCACAAAATAAATACAAATTATTGATAACCTAAAATTGATGCTGAAGTAAATTGGTACGACTGTTTGACAAGTCAGCTTTCATAAAAGCTTTTTATTTTAATTAATCGCCGTTTTAAAGGAAGATTCCGTTTTTTTAAACTTTCACATCTTTTGGATTTTAATGACCATCAGTCACAACTTCTTTTAGAGTTGCTCCCGTAGATTGCTGCAATCGACAGCCGTGAAAAAAAAGGATTTAATGTCTCAAATGGATCAAAGTGTTGTTTTTGTTTTTGTTTCTGACAGGTGAAAATGGGTGACATGACAGGAAGGATCCCACATTTACACAGACGTCCTGAATCAACGGCCCCTTTAAGAAAACAGGTGAGAAAAGGTTTGGATGTTAAAACCGAGCTGAGCTCATGAAGAGTCTTCAGAGCGCCATCAGGGACGGCGTGCTGACTGCTGCTGCTCAGATTCAATTATTACACGAGAAGAAAAAAAGCAGAAGCTTCATAGAATAAAAAAATAGAGAGTGAATCACTGCTGTAAACATTTCAGAAGAAATGATGGAAAAGTCTTCATGATAAACGAGTGGCGTCCAGAGAACCTGTTTCCTCGCTGCTTGACCTCCTACACCCCGCTCTTCTCCTTGATCCAGTTCCGGTATTTCGTGACCCGGGTGTAGACGCCCGGTTTGTTCCTCCGGGCGCAGCCGTCGCCCCAGCTCACCACGCCAGCTATGAAGACCCGCCCACTGGGCCCTGTGACGGACAGTGGTCCTCCAGAGTCGCCCTAAAGGGGTCCAAGAGGGAGGGGGGGTCATGATACCAGAACTTTAATATAAACAACATGGTTACCTCTTTGGTTACCACGGCAACAACAACACCCAATATTTCACTGCAGACAAACTCCTGCACACTTTTTCATTTGCACATTTTCCAAACGAGTTCATGGTCTCAGTCTCTACTTTCCACCACAGCACGATGTTACACTGTGGTCCCATTTAGAGTCTAACAGACCGGACAGAGGGGGCGGAGTTAGGGCAGGGCTACCTGTGACTGACAAGTCCATGGTGACCTGCCAACCAGAGGACAGTGTCTCATCTAGAGATGACCCCTTTCGGCTTGGGTTAAAATCTGATCTTCACGTAAAGCGACCCCACTGATTGAACGTTGTGATGTACGTTACCTGACAGGCGTCCACGCCCCCTTTAAGGAGTCCGGCACACAGCATCCTGTCGGTCACGTCATCTTTCATCAGACTCTTACACACCGTGCTGTTGATGATCCGAACCTCGGCCTTCTGCAGGATCTTCGCAGCGAGACCTGGCAGAGAAAAACAACCACATTGGACAGAATTACAAGTAATGTTTTGTTTATTCTCTTAAAGTCTTCCTATGTGATTTTTCACACTTAAATGTAGAAATCAAGTATCTCCTCTGAAAATAACTCTGTGAGTCATGACTGTCTACAATGGGTGTAACACCCGAGTCCCACTGTCTGTGATGTTTTCAGAGTTTTCAGAGTCCTATCTTCACTTTGTTTACATCGCCCGGACGGCCGGCTGACTCCTCCCCTCGTGTATAAAAGTTGTTTAATTGAGGGACTAGAGAAAAGAAGAATAACATACTGTACTCACTGCTTAACTGTGTTTCTAGATCACGCTCATTTCAGGTAAATTTACATGCAGTGTGAAGATACCAGCATAATAAAGATCGCTAGCATGAGCATGCTAACACAACAATGCAGCGTGAGTTGTTTTGGTTTCATGTTGGTGCTCAAGGGCGACATCTGCTGGATCAAAACATCACATATAAAGCCTTTAATGTTGAATTATTGCCGTATTTAAAGGCTGCGTCATTCTGAATATTAATACAGTGTTTCCCGTAAATAGACGATAATCAGGCGGGTCCCCCAGGTACGGCCGTTCAAGTAGAAACTTCCAGGAGTGAATGTGTGAACCCACCTCCCTCTCTGGTGGCCCCCCAGCCTGTGATCCACGCCGCGAGGCCTGCTGGGAAGTCGTAGGTGGGCGAGGGCAGACAGATGGGCCAGATGTTCTGGTTCAGGGTGACGTTGGAGTCCAGCTCCATCAGGGCGATGTCGTTGTCGTAAGTGAGGAAGTTGTAATCCGGGTGAGCGATGATCTGCTGAATGTTCCTCCTCACTGTCCACTCGCTGGTCTGACTCTGCACATGGAGACCCAGCAAGGCCTCCCATTGGGTGGCCTGGGAGTACCTGCAGCACACATCAGAGAAGTTACAGGAAGCTAAAATAAATTATGAAGTATAAATGGTTTTTAAAAACAGCTGGAATGCAACTAATTTGCTGTTTTGGAGGTACAGATTTTAACGATATGAGGCATAACAAGAAGATATGACATCAAAATGAGCAAGAAGAAAAGTTTGCCCATAATGAAATGCCTTTGAACTCTGACCCCTAGTGTTTAAAATTGGTTCTACAGTCCAATTCTAAACATTATAGAGGGCTGTCTCCCCCCCCTCTTCTCTAGAGTGGATGTTCACTCAGGTCACCATGTGGTGGACTCTGAAGCTTCAGTGTTTATCCAGCTCTGCATGGGTCTGTAAACCTTTCTGTGTTCTAACCTCTCTCCATTTTTCAAAAGCATCTCCAATATTGATCCTAGTTTGAGCACGTTTCTGCTCGTGGACCTTATTAGAAACATGCAGAGGCTTTTTAGGTCGGGTACAATCACTTCTATCTGAACCACTTCTCTTGACCGCTTCCATCACTGCAACACCTGTTGACCTGATAACTGCTCTCATATCTGACAAACAGAGGGGCGTCCAAAACGGCCGTGTGTGTGTGGGGGGGGGGGGGGGTGTCTTAAAAGCGCCTACCTTCTCTGGTCCAAACAAATCCAGAGCATTCAGGAGCAGAATCTAAAGTTAGAAGGAGGACATACTGGCTGCTGCATTGTTGTCAGAGAAGCCAGCACTTCAACATAGCATGTTTCCTTAATGATCAGAGAGTAAGATACCTTTATCATCTCACTCAGTAGATATTCAGACTGTGTTCTGCAGAATTCTCCTACTTGTTTGGTCCGTTGTCCTGCACGCAGTGAGCCGCCGTTATTAGCCAGCGGTTGCTCAGCACCGATGCTCCGCACGTGTGACCCTGGCCTTTGATATGGAGGCTAACTTGCCAGGGCCACTCCCCCTCCCGGGACGCCTGCCCGCCCACGATACGGGAGCTCCGGTAAGGCCTCGTTCCACAGTCTGGAAACACACACACACGTAAACAAACAGAAAGGTGCTTTCGACATGCTAAGAGTGGGAAACTAACGTGCTGATAAACACTGTGTTTCAGCTTCTGGTATTTATTCATTCAGGAGATCTGACAAGGAGTTTTAAAAACATGTTCGATAACCTGTTAGCTACCAAACGACATCTACTGTTAGCATTCAGTCATTTCTGTGTGTGTGTGTGTGTGTGTGAGTGTGTTAGACGTACGGCAGTTGTCCTCGTCCGAACCGTCCTCACAGTCCTGTTCTCCGTCACACTCAGGGTTCAGTTTGCTGATGCAGCGTCCGTCTCTGCAGCGAAACGTGAACTCTGAACACTGCTGCAGAACCAGAGCTGCAACCAAGAGACGAGTATCAGTACACAACAACAACAACAACACACAACAACATGACAACACACAACACAACAACCACACAACACAACTACAACTACACATCCTCCCATCTGTGACTAAACTTTAAAGAAAGAGTAAACAGCTGTTTTTTTTTTCTCCTCACATTTTTCACATTTGGACTCGTCTGATCCGTCCGAGCAGTCGTCCTTTCCGTCACACTGCATCTTCTTGGGGATACAGCGACTGTTTCTGCAGGTGAACTCACCTGGTTTGCATTTCACTACAAAGATTAACGAGATACAGAGAGATAATCAACTGTCTGTCTTACATACTCTTTATTACCCTGATGGTCAGTCTTTTAAAAACACCACAGGGCAGCAGAGGTTCTCAACTGGTCTTGCCTCAGGACCCACCACCAAGTCCTCAATGTAGTTCTGAAGTTTTTCAGCCAATCAGATTTGTTTAATGAAATTGTGCAGTTTGGATCTCAAACCGGGCAAAAGATGTGACTGAACCAAACGAACAAGTCTAAACAGCACTGCAGAGACATTTTGACGATGTTTGTTTTCCAGCGATTTAATGAAAACAACTCAGCGACCCACTTGTAGGTCCTGACCCACCAGTTGAGAAACACTGCTTTAGAGGCTTTGGAAATGATGTAACACATGAAGGGGCGTTGAACATTCTTCAGTTGATTATTTTGTGTTTATCCAGACTTCAGATGAACCCACCACAGTTCTCCTCATCTGTGTTGTCTCCACAGTCGTCCACGCCGTCACATTTCCAGAACTCCGGTTTACAGCGTCCGTTTTTACATTTCATCTGAGACTCGTCACACTCTGAGACAAAAACAAACAAACAAACATGTTAGACTGCCTGAACGGTTTCTGCCCTCAGCGCAAAGCCAACTGTTTCTTCTGTGAAAAAAAAAGTAGAGAATCTGTCGGTGTGCTATCGAATAATGCTGCTCATCATTCAAATTAATTTGTTTAGGACGCGTTGAGGATAAATCTACATTAAAGGTGACATATCCTCCTCCTCCTCTTCTTCATTGTAAATAAGTCTCAGAGCTCCTCAAAACATGTGTGTGAAGTTTCTTGTTCTAAATCCACTCTGATCCTGTATTTGATCATGTCTATAAACCCCTCTATTTCAGCCCTGCTCAGAACAGGCTGTTTCTGTGTCTGTACCTTTAAATATGTAAATGAGCTGTGTGTCTGACCACCCCCTCTCTGGAAGGGTTTGGGTGTACTCTGTCTTTCTAGCTCCATGTCCTATTGTTTTGGTGAGAAGGCAGACTAGAGGGCAGAACAAACACTAGCTGTGGGAGTGTCACCACCTGGGGAGGGGCTACTGCTCTTTGTGATGTCATGAAGGGAAAATCGCCAAACGGCCTGTTTGAGCACACATTTATCTGAAAAGTGGAGCAGGCAGAAGATGGAGAGGAGACTTTCTCATCATTGGGGGGTTTGTAGACGGACTAGAGGAACATGGGGAAGTGGATTTTATATCATGTGACCTTTAAGAACTAACAGGAAGTGATATGTTGAGGAAACTTTGCAGGATGATGGAAACCAGACTTGATGGGTAACTTTTCAGGCTGAAAACAGGATCTTATTTGCAGAGTCCGGGTTCTGGACTCACTGCAGTTTTCCTCGTCGCTGGCGTCTCCACAGTCGTTCCAGCCGTCACACTGCAGAGTCGTGTTGAGGCACAGGTTGTTGGTGCACTGGAACCTCCCCGGACAAGCTGGACGAAAAAACAGCAAAGAGTCAGACACTGGAGAGAAAATGTCAAGGAGAAACAGAATCCGTTTAAAACACGTACGGTTTGTCGGGATGAACGCTTCGTACTCTGCGGTGAAACCCTGGTCCACGTAGGACGAGTCCGAGTGGAATCTGATGGTCATGGCGTTGCTGCGGCTGGTGAGAACGCTGCTCTGGAGCTTACTGCCACACAGTCTGAAACACAGACACAGAGAGACAGTCCCGGGTGATTGGCCATCAGAAAAAGGGGGAGGCACCTCCTTTCAACGGAGGCGCTGATTGGCTGTTATCAGGTGTCAGTGAAACAACGGAGGTCATTCTGAATCAGTCCCTGGAGCTTTATGCATCTAATGAGTTTGGATTCAATCTTTTACTGTAAATAAAGTGGACCATGATAAAGAAGTGCTGTTTGATGAAAAATCTGTTGAAGGAACAAAGACAGGAACAAACCATCGACGTCTCACCTTTGACTGTCCACCTCCACGTAATCCTGTCGACACTGGGCGCTGTTGTTTCCGAGGAAGAACTTCTTGAACTGAACCTTCAAAAACGTTTCTTTTGGGGCCTGAAAGAGATCGAGACGAGAGACGGAATCAGGTGAAGTCATCTCTGCAGAAGAGATAGATTCATTCATTCATTTTATGGATACAATAAAGTATTTTTAAAAAGTGAACTTACCTGGATCTTCCAGACGCAGGTGGTTTTAGGAGGATAGTTGGAGGGAAAGAAAGGTGAGGAGAAGGAGCCTTTGGATGCAGTCAGTGTTCCCCCGCACTCTGAAGACACACACACACACACACACACACACACACACACACACACACACACACACACACACACACACACACACACACACACACACACACACACACACACACACACACACACACACACACACACACACACACACACACACACACACACACACACACACACACACACACACAGTTTTACACCTCATTCACCACTTTTGCTTGATAATGTTTGTTTGTTAGATTAGTTTATAATAGTTATTTGTTTGATTAAGTTCATTGATTTTGGATTGATGTTGCTTCGTTTAAATAAATTCTGTTATAATTTAAGAGAGCAGTTGTTTGTGATATAAGGATAAGGATGATTTTAAGGATATTTGGGTTATATTTCCCTGATTTCAGGGTGGTGCCCCCGAGTTGAACATAGTTTAATGATATTGTTATTTATATTAATAATAATTAAATATAATTATTATATAATAATTATATAATATATATATATTATATAATTATTATTATTATAATAGAATATAACCAAAGTTGACTTGATACAACCCCAACAACACTGAGGGGATAAGATAAGATAAGATAATCCTTTATTTATCCCACAATGGGGAAATGTACACATCACGCACACACACGTTAAACATCTTGTGTCTTTGTGTCGTACTTTGTTCTCTCAGAGAGATCTGTGAGTAGTTGGCTATGAACCCGGGGAAGTCCTTCTCCTCGTCGGTGACCAGAGTCAGCAACATGACGCTCCCAGAGGACAGGAAGGAGAGGGACTCATGAGGGTATCCACACTGCCTGAGGGGGGGACATGGCTCTGTCATTGGGTGTATTTATGGTTATTTATTTTCTGTTTAAATAAAGCATTAAATAAACGTTGGTAGAGTGGTGGTCCGGGTCTCACTCTGTCAGGAGCAGGTTCTGAATTGGGGCCAGGGAGTCGTAGATCTGGATGAAGTCATGCTGACAGTCGTCCTCCAGGATCAGAGTGTGGAAGTCCAGTCGGACTCGGTGACCCGGGTCGGCTCTCAGTCTCCACTGCAGGTAG